ACGAACTCGTCAAAAGAAAAAACGACTTTCGCTGTACCGGGTAGACCCCTCTATCAGTACACCATTATGCCGTTCGGGCTTTGTAGCGGTCCCCAGTCCATGAGCCATTTAATGGATAAAGAAGGTATTTGTTTGTAGCGACACATTTTCTGATCATATTCAAGTTTTTCGTGAGGTAGCCCAACTGTTTAAGTCTGCGGGATTGACCATTATTGTCTCAAAAAGTAAGTTTTGTCAAGCGGAGATAAAGTATTCAAGGTATCGGGTAGGGGGAGGTTGTCTTAAGGTTGACCCAGACAAAGTGTCAGCAATTGTTGATTTTCCATTGCCAAAAACTCCTAGACAGGTACGTCGTTTTATTGGTATTGCAAATTGGTACCGCACTTTCATTAACACTTTTGCTGATATGTCTGGCCCTTTAACTGATTGTTTGCGTAGTGGAAAAGGTAAATTTGATTTAACGCCTGAGACAATAAACAGTTTTGAATTGATAAAAAGGGCACTTAGTGAAGCCAAAGTACTCGCCCAACCGGATTTTTCAAAGAAGTTCATTATTCAGTATGATGCCTCCCGTGTTGGTGTTGGAGGAGTTTTATATCAGGTTGACGAAAATGATGGAGAGAAGCCAATAGCATTCATATCACAAAAATTAAATCGCGCTCAGCGAAATTATACCGTCACAGAACTGGAATGTATGGAGGCAATTATATGTATGAATTGTTTTAGACCCTATGTGGACTTACCTTTTAGAATTATAACGGACCATTCAAACCTCAAATGGCTCATGAGCCAAAAAGATCTGAGCGGCAGATTAGCCCGTTGAAGCCTGAAACTCCAGGGATTTTATTTTAGCATCGAACACCGCAAGGGCTCTTTAAACATTGTCCCAGATGCATTATCCCGTTCTGATGTAGGCGCACTAGATATTGATTTGAGCTTCCCTGAAATACATTTATCGTCCAGCCATTTTTATTGCCCAGACTATCAGGTCCTCAAAACAGACGTCAAAAAAATCAGGATTCTTTACCAGATGTTCAACTTCGAGATGATAAGGTCTTTAAACGCGTTAAATTTCGCATGGGTGTTTGTCATGACGAAGATAGCTTATGGAAGCTTTGGCTCCCAAATACTTTGATAGAGACTACAATTAAGCTTGGGCACGAAGTAAGTTGTCACGGCGGTTTCAAAAAACTTTAGCGCGCATAAGGGAAAAATATTACTGGCACTTAATGATCAAGGATATAAAACAATATGTTGAAACTTGTGACGATTGTAAAGTTACAAAACCACCCAACCAAATACTCCGTCCCCTTATGGGCAATTCTTTCAAAACCCTACCTTTTTATTACTTTGGCCCACTTTACTAAGTACTTATTCCTCCAGCCTATGCCGTCTGCCAAGTCAACTAATGTCATTGACTATTTTGAAAATTACATATTGGACAATGCCAAAAAATTCATTTCGAAAGAAATGCAAGACTTCTTTGAACTCTTCGGCGTAACTCATATTCGCACCGGTTTGTACTCGCCACAAGCCAATGCGGCTGAACGGGTAAACCGGGAAATAATTTCTAAGATTCGTTTTTACTTAAAAGATCAACCCGATCATTGTAGTTGGGACAAATGTATTCCCCGCATTCTGGGAACTCTACGCAGCGATTTTCACTCTTCTATTCAATGCTCTCCATATTACGCCATGTTTGTTCAAAACATGTGTATGCATGATTCCACTTACACCCTGTTAGATAAATTGAATGTCGTAGTGGATGACACTATAGTCACTCGAACAGACAAGCTTTCAGATATTAGGAATCGAGTTGGACAGGAAATCTTTCGGAGATCCCATAATCTTAGCACATTTGAAAAGGGGGTTAACGCTAAATTTAGCCCAAAATACATTAAATGCCGAATAAGAGCACAAGTCGGTAAAGCTTTATATAACGTATAAGATCTTCAAGGAAAGCTAATTGGTAGATTTCATGCTGCAGATCTCAAAGTAAAGTATCCAACGGTCAATACTTAATCTCATTTTAAATCCTCTACAACCAATAATTAATAGATGCTTGTTTTATATAAGCAAATGATATAGTCATTTTTTTATTTTGCCTGGCTTTTCGTCGTGCCACACGTTTGAATATTCAATTAGAAAATCAATTCCATTTCCTGTTCGTTAATCAATTAGAAATTTTCATAACAAAGCAGTTTTGTAATGAATTGTTTTTTTCTTTTTTTGAAGCAAGCATAAACGCTGCATACGCATTATCTGAAGGGGGTATTTTTGTTTTGGACGCTCACAATATCGTTTGTCGGAGATTTGTTTATACTTGATAGTTAAAGACACGGTATATATGGTGTCTTTGTTTTTGCCCTAGTGATTGCGGTAATTCTCCATTGCCATCATGTATGCAGGCCTTGTCAGAGTTTTTATTTGGTACAGACAAGAGACTTTTAAAATTCTGTTCATTGCCAGAGTCGTCTTCGTGCATTCCAATGAAACAGTTGTCTTGACCTGTGGAAATATTTCGCCGCAAAAATGAAGTAGGGAATGCTTACAAAGCTTCTCAGTTGCATCATTGTGTAGTTGTGAAAACATTTTTCTTATTGCAAAGAAAAATAAAAATACTACAAAAGAAAAGTTACACATTAACTCTAATAACAAAAGTTCTGGAAATGGTCTTAAGCCATTGAATAAACTGTAGTAGAAATTAATGTGCCAGAAATCAACCGTATGGAAAGAAAAGCTAAAAGTTGAGAGCAGAAATTATTAAAAAAAATTAAACAGTGGGTAAAGGTCTTGATCAATTGGACGGAATGCCATTGACAAAAGATGATACAAAAAGTGAAGCACTCGAAGTAGATGAAAAGTTATTTTGATAATAACTTCTTTTTTATAAAGAAAATGTAATTATAAACCTCCCTCTTCGTGGACACACTCAATATAATTTGAAAGTACATGAAGTGACAAAAAAAGAAAGAATACAAATTTTGTAAAAGCGCAAATTTAAAATACAAAAAAAAATCAACGAATTTAAACAATTTATATTCATACATAATTTTTATAAAAACATATACATACATGTGTAATCTAAGCTAGACACAGAAGAAGAAAAAAGAAAATTAAAAACAGGAAAAAATTTACCACACGTAATAAAATAACTATAAATAAATAAGTACTTTTAAGGAAAAAAGAAGAAAAAAAAATATGACAATAGTTTTAAGTATGATACATTTTATTATATTACTTCTAACTAATAATTAAAAAAATTGAATTAAAAAAAATGAATTGCTAAATTCTTTTCTTCTTTTATGAAAGAGAGTAGCTGTACCATAGGCGGTGTTGAGTAACGGTGAACGGTATTTCTTTTTTTATTGGGGTACCTTTAGAAAATTATCAGTGTATGAGTTACCAATGGCGTAGGGTGGGGAAAGTGCACTCCAGTGACGCAACACCGGTCACAGTTTTTTTTTTTTTTAATTTTTACTCATGGAATGGTTCAAGCTTGTTTTTCTTTGGTTTTCGTATTTTCTTTTAAATGTGTGGTTTTCAAGTTGGCATGGAAACTCTAGTGTTACGAGTAGAATAATCGGGTCAACGTAACCTTACCACGGCGGACCTAGCCAAGAAAATTTCTGTTAACATGCCATTGATCTTGATTTTTGAGAAAAGAAAATGGAAACTTAATATACAATCTTTTCGCATTGTCTTTATTAGAAATGCTCGTAACATCTACATCAAATAACCAAGAATGTTTCCCTTTATAAGATAATAAGTACCCTTGTAACTCTCGGGATCAGCATCCAATTTTGTAAACGTGAATAGATTTGAAACTATTTTATTTTTAACCCAAAATATTATATCGTTAATGTCCCGTGCAATTTTTTTATTTGTTTTCAAGAGAATTGTAAACGGAAATTCAAATACAAAATAAAATATTTTTTCTTTAATTTTATTTTTTGTGGAAGCTAATATTAATTGTTTTACTGTCAAAACTAGGACACCTACACCTATATGAAAGAGCGTGACAGCTGCGGAGCCAAAACCATGGACCCCAATGGACGTTAAAAGTTTTAGTAAACTAAAGTAACAAGTAAAAAAAATTAAGTGATATTTCTCTCGCCGAGATGGAATCAGAATATTGGTAGCGATCAGCAAATATTGCAAAACTACCAGTTTCGCTTTCTTTCAAACTTCAAACAATCCCATAGAAAAAAGTAGCCAGGATCATGAAGTACCGAATATTGGTTGGTACCATTATATGAAAACCGTAGACAAATATGAACAATGTTTGGACACCGGTAGAACCCATTATTAACTACAAATAACGAATTTTAAACTAACCCGATATATGTTTGGACACAGGTAGAACCCATTATTAACTACAAATAACGAATTTTAAACTAACCCGATATAAAATGTGACATAATAAAATAACGAATATCGCCCATTACAAGGGCGATATATAACGTTACAAAGGCGGCATTTGAGTTGAAAATGCTATACACCAGTAACGGGTAGAACTCGTTATAAAGTCATAATACCAAATTTTAAACAATTCGGTGGTCATATGGCTTAAATCATCAAGCGGGGGTTACCATATATGGGCGTGGACCGATATACCTCATCTTCAATACCAACAATCTTAGATACCATTAAACTATTTCAAAACTGTACGTCAAATAATGTATTTTGTATTGTGATTTCAACAGACGACTTAGAGTTTTATGGTGATCAGGAATATTTAGGTTTTACAAACGGAATGACAAATTTAATGTACCATACTTTTCATGCTGGATGGTATAAAAATAGCTCATTTAGTGAACACACTACAGTGATATAGTTTATCATTTCTTTAAAAAATATCTGATTTACTTACAAAAAAAAAAAACCCTTTATGCATGAAAAATTCCGAGAAATAACTTTTTTTTCGAAATAAAAAAATAAAAAGTATAATTGTTTTCCATTGAGAAAACACATCCAACTTAAGGGACACACGTCACCCAATATTTTGGTTTGGATTGCTTAATTCCAATATGTATGTTTATGTCAAGTAAATAATAATGTCGATTTAGCTAGACTATAGTGACTCGTTGTGGAATGTAGTCTGTCAGTTAAGAGATTAGCAGTTAATGTGTATATCCCTGGATGATTAGCTGTGAATTGAGTTTTATTTTAGTTTGCTTTTAGGCTATAATCAGCGTTGACAGAACAGATGAGAGTGTAACACTTTGCCTTATTTTCCCATGGTGTCTTGTTCTATGAAAATCTAAAATTAAAACCTCCATAAAGGGAGAAATGTTATATGAGCCGCCAGAGGCTAAAATCCTTTGATAAATTAAATATGCTTCATTTCATTTTCTAATAAAACAAGAACTAACTCCCTGGTCTGCTAATGACTTTACTTAGCACCATTGTTGCGAAAGTGGAGATTTATGCCCAAAAATGGGCTTAAAAATGTGAAATTGATGACCTGGGCGGATTTCCGGTATTTTTTTGGTTTGGCATATTGATATTTTTTCTTTTTTCATGTTTTTCAAAATCTTCATTCTGCAAAAGATTTTACTTTTCAGTATTTGAAAAATTGAAGAAAAACAACTAAAACACATTAAATTCGTTTAATATCCCCTTTAAAATTGCATGGATATACCAAAACGTGGACTTACATTTACATACTCTATAGCAGTGGGCGGTATACTTTGTGAATATCACGTATTCGATTTAAAACACTGATTTTTAAAAATATGGCTAAAATCAGAAGAACAATGAACATCCGTAGGTGCCGTTATATGTGGATTGTAGCAAAACGTGGGTCTGCATAGACACTGTTGTGTCATGGGATGTAGATGTAGTAAACTATTGCGTTAGAAACTGTAGCCAAAACTGAAAAAAATAAAGACTGTCGGCAGGTACCGTTATATAGAGGCTATGTAGACAATGCTTTGCGCCGTAGGTAGAACGCACCATGACATCTCACCAAATCGTTTCTAAAGACAGATCGCAATGGGAAAGCTCAATGGTCCGAACTCCAAGAATTCAACAACCTTTGCTTCAGGAAACTGCCTACTACCAAATACCCGTAACAAGACTAATCCTCCCAGCAAAGGAAGCGGCACCTGCGAACGAGAGTGAAGAGCTTCAGTATTCCAACACCACTGATCCCAAGGGAATTGAAATGGAGGTCAACAAGTTGGAACATTGCTGCAACATTTTAACTTATATGAGTGGATTGTGCGTAATTCTTTAAATGAAGTTACAGTTATTGCCCCAACAAGTTATGCTGGCCGCTAATTTGTCTATCATCTCGAAAGTAAGCGAAGAATTCTACGTAGTATTAGATATCCTTCCTCCCAGGAACTATCACAACAGTTTTCAATAGTTGATATTGGAGATGTCATTCAAAACATTTGAACTAGATGGAATCACAATGGTAATGCTGAAAAAGCTAGATACATCGGGAGTTGACTACCTGATAAAAGTCCTCAACCTCTCACTACCCACGTACATCGTTCCGAAACCTGATAAATAGGTCGGGTCGTTCCGATACTGAAGGAAATGATGTCAACAAAGGCGAATGATAAAGCCAATTTCGGTTTTATCGTCAGTAACAAAGACTATCGACATTTTACTCTTCCCCATTGTTACTTCTTACGCTATTCGGTTGCTTTCCGTCAGCGACATAGCACAACGACAGCATAACGGCATATCCACATATATCAGTAGAGGGTTTTTTTGGAATCGGTTATTGGTTACGCCGTCACGACGAGGTCGGTACGATGCCCGTAGTATGAATGTACCATTGTTTTGTAGTCGATTGTTAGTTATCGATAATTATTTCGAGTTCCTTGTTGCTTTCCATTTCTTTTTATTCTTGTAGTTTTGTGATGTGAGTGATGTGATTCCGGGTTATAGCTGTATGTTGTTTTTATGAATGAAGTTGCACAATTCACGAAAGTTTTCACAGGCAAAACTTTTGAGTACTGCAGGTAAATTTGAAAATTTTGTAAAGAAATTGTAATTCATTCTGTCATTATTGTATATATGGACAGGTAAGTTTTTCCATATGATGAGGAACAGGTAAGTTTTTCCATATGTATGACCAGTGAGAAGTCTGTTTATAACCTTAATTTCTCCAAGTGACATGTTGAATCCTGAAAACCAATGGCGGTTTGGTGGCTCTGGGAAGAATTGTGAGAAGTGCTTTTACTGATTGAAATTTATAATTCTCCTTCCATTCACTCCATAGATGTTGGTGGATTAGGGAGCGAGCATCTTTTATCGAGAGGCCAGTTTGTATGATTGAACCAACTTCAGCTGCATGTTTGGCGAAAAAGTCTGCACGTTCATTAGCAGCAATGCCTATATGCGAGGGAATCCAGATGATGGTGAGTTGTATTAGACTTGAGTTGTTTACCTTTTGTAGAATATTGTTGGCCAGGTAGTTTTGGGTACCATTTTGTTTTAAAATTAGACATGTATTTTTACTATCGGTAAGAATGGTGGCTTTTCTGATGTTGTCGTCTATCATTATGTCTATTGCATTATTGATGGCGTGTAATTCTCCCATAAGTGATGACATTTTTGCCGGTATTTTGAATAAGAAGTTTTGATCATTTGAGATATTGCATACAGCACAACCAGTCGTAGTACTGGAAATCGAGGCATCGGTTGCCCATATCGTGTGTCCTGTGTTTTGAAGTCGTTCAGTTTTTTCTTGCAGTATTACTCTATAAAATTCATTGGGTTGTGTATTTTTTGTAGAGTTTAATAAGTTTAAGAAGAAAGTGAATTTACTACTGAGATATTCTCTCTGATTTACTATAGTTTCGTTGAGAATGTGTTTAAATTTCATGTAGATTAAACCCAAACTGGTCTTGTTGGTAGGGTTGTTTGCAATATTTTGGTATAACTGTCGGTTGTGACACTTAAATTGTATTAATTCCTAGAATTATAACTTTCTCACCTTTGCTTTTGTAATAGTTTATGGTGTACAGTGAATTGTTGATACACATTGAAGTTGACTGATGTTTCCTATATGCAAAAGTATTTGTTGGCAAAATATTTTCTTCATCAATGAATTGTTGCAAACGCTCTTTTACCATTAAGTTTATTATTTTAAATAGGACATATATTAGAGCAATGGGTCTAAAATTTGTGAACAATTCTAGATCTTTGCCCTTTTTGGGTATTGGGACAATCTTTATTTTCCTCCATTCATCTCTGATTTAAATGCTTCAAAAAAGTTGTTCTTTGCAGAGTCAGATAAATGATTTATCATTTCATAAGTTATGCCGTCTAGGCCAGCAGCAGAGGTTTTCTTCTTATTTTTTTAGCACCAGTAAAAATTCCCCCATTGTGAAAACGGAGTGATTACTAACAGATTTACAGACATAATTAAATGGATTGTCCGTTACTTGGTCTTTTAGATGAGATAGAAATAGTTTATTGTTGTTGGAGACCATCTGCCTTTAACATTTGATGATAAACTATTTTTGCACCCTCGAACAAATTGAAAAAGATGTTTTGAGCTGGGTTCTTTATTTAAATTTTGTATCTTATTTTTGAAAGTGTGATGTTTTGGCAAATTGTACTGCATTTTTGAATTTTTTATCTTTTCAATTAGATTTCTTGCGTTGACATCATTGCTACATAAGTCGTATGTTATTTGAGCAGCTAGTTAAATCTTTATTGTTTTTCCACATAAGAATCCCACCAAGCTTTTGGTGTTTTGATTCCTTTTAAAACATAAGTAGACTTTTTGTTTTTGCATTTTATCGCAGATTGTATATTTTCAAAGTTTTTGTTTAGTTGTATCTGACCAAGATTTCTCAATAATTGTTTTTTTGCCAAAAAAAAAATTTGTCCTTTGGACTTTGTTTTGTTTATATTCAATATTACAGGGTAGTGATGGCTTCCACCGATCATGTTTCTAAAAGTATTCCATTGTATTGGCAAGATTTTGTTGGTGAAGTATAGGTCTAAAACAGATCCACCCAGATCATTTATATTTTTTTTAAAGTATAGTTACCATTGTTTAGGCATTGAAAATTGGAAGCATCAAAGATCTATTTTATTGTTTTTCCCCGCTGTGAGACAAAAGAATCACCATATGCTGTATGTTTAGCATTGAAGTCGCCACATATAAAAGTGTTGATTTGGTTACCAAGCAGTAATATTAATTTAGGTAGTTATTTTTTTATTGTTGCACATCTCACTGAGTGTGGGAAATATATGGATACCAGAGTTAAACTGTTTGTTAAATTTGTGGTTTGGCAGATGAGAATATCCAAAGGTGTTTCGAAAGGGATCTTTTTGAACTGTATATTTTTTTGAATAGTAGGACAACTCCACCATAGTTGTCACTTCTTTTTTTTTTTTTTTTTTGGAGATTATTTTATAGCTTTGTATAGATGAAGAGTTTTGACTTTCGTCTATATTAAATATTTTACTCAGAATACATGTGTCTATATTTTGCTTTTTAAGAAAGAATTCTAGAAAATTCTTATTTTTCTTTAGACTTCGCACATTACATTGTAATAAATTCATATTTTTTAACTATAGTTTTTATTTTGAACTTTCAGATTCTGTATTATCTATTTAGAGTGTATTATTTGTGTTATAAGATGCGTTGTTTAATCCAGTGAGGTAAGGACTTTTGACTTTTTTTGGCAAACAGTGTTAATGTATTTTCTATTTCAGATACTTTTGAGAAACTTGCTTGTTGGAAAGTTGGTTGAGACGGTGTTATTTGAATCGGACTGGCTGTGACGTGATGAATTGGATTTCTAGGTGACGCTGTATTTTAATTTTGTGACTCTTTTATTTATTTCCTCATAAACGCTTCTTTTTGGAGTAGAGGGTTAATACACTTTTTACATTCGGCCCTATTATGGTTGTCGTCGGCCTCGCAAAATGAAGTCGAGGCGACAATAATATTAGGGTTGTCGTTTTTTGTCGATAGCGAAAATGATTACTATTATAGTTGTTGATACAACAGTCGACGTGAAGTCGATTTTTAAGAAAATCTGTCGCCGTAAAAAATTGTGACGACATTGTATTTTTTAGTCGACGGAAAACATAATTGTAACAGACGTTATAGATCATGAAAATGAGCCAGTGGACAATGCTGATGACGAGACTGATGTAACTACTATCTAAACTTCTCGATCGCCCAGAAAAAACAATGATAAAAAGTCATCAAGGAAAGAAGAAACTATTGAATTCTTGAAAGAGCAGTATAAACTTTTGGAACAACATAATCAAGAGTCAGGCAATGCAAATATGTTTGTTTGCTGCCTTAGCACTCGCCGCTGCACTACTAATACATTCTCCACTTCATCCTCACTTGAGCTTAAGATATGTAACGCATTTATAATATCCATTGTTTCACTATATTTTTTATTTTTCCAAAAGAGAATTCAAAATACAAAAAAAAAAATTTCTTATTTTGTCAATAACAAGGGAGTGTTGCCAACGCTTTTTTAGTTGTTGCCAACTTTTATTTTAAACTGTCGATGTCGCTTCAATGCCTTACCGTAATACCATCTTTGAATCGAAGCGACGGTTTGGGCGACTTGCACATAAAGTCGACGACGACTATAGAAACGAAAACCGTAATTGGGCCGATTCATTCATGTATTTTGGAGCATTGTTCACCAATTTAAGTGTTGTCAGAGTTCTTATGTAAAATTATTCTGAGGGTGATTTTACGATTACGTGTTTCGCGTTTATATGATATAAATTTGTAGAAAATGTGAAAAATGGCATCTTACATCCGTTTTTTTCTTATATAGACAGATAAAAAATGTGCTTTAATTTTTTTTCATAATTTTAAGCTGTGTTCTTGTGGTATTTTTTCTGAAATGTTAAAAACCGAAAACAACATATTTGTTAAAGTATACATTTAAGAAATTCCCGAAAGAATTATTGACTTTAAACTAGCAATCTGAAGGTGTTAGGTTCAATTACCAGTCATAATTCTGATATTTCAATAGTCCACAATTAGGTGAGCTAGGGAATGGGTAATAACGGTCGACTGCCATTTGGTATCTTGTCAATAATTAAAAAAATTGCTCTCTAGAAAGAGAACTGCTCATCCGATTTTGTTAAAACTTGGCAATCCTAATATTTGTATCTTTGCTTGGACAAATGTAAAAATTGACAATATCGGCCATTCCTTCTGGTATTTTCTTTTGTGTTTTATGAAAATTACAGGTAGTTAGGTCTTTTGACATTTCTTAAATAGGCAATAAACACTATATTTGACTTACCCTAATTGTAGCATCGGCCATTAAACAGTAGGGCTGATTCTGATACTGCTGAATTTCGCCTATAATTTCGGAAACTTTTCGACGCTTAGAAAAATTAATAAGTTGTGTATTGGGTAAAAAGTCCGGGTTGCCTTCTTCTAAATGTAGTATATTCGTTAAATAGCGACCAAAAAATGGAACGCAGGGTGGGTTTATAGATCGTAAACGTTCTTGGTACTTTTTCAAATGTCCGTCATTCATTTCACGACATTCCTCCAAAAACTTCTCATATCGTGCTGGCAGACCTTGGAATGTCAATTTTAAGCGATATACGGACGCACTGCCCATTGCAGCGCTAATGGACAATATTCCATTGAAGTTATTTAGCTCCAACATTACCATCATTACTTCTATTGCGCGGGTTACCATAGCCACCCGTTCTTCGTAATTTTCAGCTTCAATTATTGTTTTTTCTATCCATCGAGTAACATTTGTAGTATGTTTCATAATTTTTAGCAAATTTGGACTTTTTATTTCCTTGTCCTTCTTTGTCCATGGCGATCCAACCAATTCAGATGGCTTCACATTTTTATAGAGCTCAAACTCTAGTAAAGTAAGTTGTCTGGCCAACTCCAATGGGTGCAGTGTTAAGAGAGTTATTTCAGATTCGGGAACAGTAAGGTGATGTTCTATAGGAGGAGGACTATGACCATATGCAAACGTGATTTGTTTTTGACACTTTTCCTGTTCGCTCTAAACGGAAAATAAAGAAATAAGACGTAAAGCAATTAAATTTTACATAGCGTAATTGGAAATTATAGCAAATATTTAAAAGTGAAAACTTTGAAGACTGGAAGTTGTCAGTGGAGGCATATTTCAAAATTAAAGGTCTGTGGAAATCCATCCATGGGACGGAAGTTGAAGAAAACAAGAAAATTCAATCTAAGGCCGAATTAGTCTTATTGGTGGGCATATATACGAGAATGTACAAATGTAAAATATATATGGACTGCACTAGCAAAAAATTATGAGGACAATGCCCTGGTGAGGAGAGTTGTATTAATTCAAAAATTCGGCTCAATAAAATTGAAAGATTGTCCAAAGGTTAATGAATATTTGAATGAGATAATCAAATCGGCGCACAAATTAAGGGCTGTTGGACGCTACAAAGTTCACAACATTGCAAGATGTGAAGAATGAAGCAATTGAAATGGCTCGAGCCGGAAACAAAAAGAGATTTGGCAAACATGTGAAAGTACCAAAGTGTTATAACTGCAATCAATATAGTCATATAGCCGCTAAATACCCGAATAAATCATCCAAGAAATTATTCGCAAAGAAATGGGAGCTTTTCCGGTACATGATTAGTATTTCGATTCCGGCGCCACTTCCCATATGTGTTCAAGTAAGAAATTGTTCAATGATCGATATGAAGAAAGAAATTCTGAGGTAAATATTACAAATAATTCTACAATGCGTGTTGTGCGTGTTGAAAATGTCGATATGGTTTTGTTAGTGTGAAACTCTAAGAAAGAAAACTGTTACTTTTAAAGACGTTCTGCACATTTCGGATTATATGTTAATCTGCTCTCCATATCTAAAATTTTTGAAAATGGATTCAAAGTTGCATTTGATGTCAAAGGCTGTAAAATTATCAACAATTATGGCGATATTATTATGACGGGATTTTTAGTTTAAACAGCGTTTCGAATGAATTTTTCAACCGACAAAGCAATAGTTTCTTAACGAAAAATCGAAGAAGTTATTTTGTGGTATGAGCAAATCGGTCATATTAACAATGAAACACTGAAGAAAATTGCATCAGGGGGTGTTATTGGAGTAAATTGTGAGATAAGTATAGAAAATTGTATTACTTGCTTGAAAGGGAAAATATTATGAAAACCATTTAATGATAAAGGAACTATAGCTAACGGTATATATTGTATTTAATTCACACCGATCTATGTAGTCCAATGAAATCAGACTCAATTTGTGGTTTTCAATATATACTAACTTTTATAGAGTATACTACAGTATACTGTAATGAAGGAATGAGACGAATGTCGACAAAAATGAAAACGACATTTATCACTAAACTATTGTACCACATTCGCCTCAGAAAAATGGTCTGTCTGAAAGAATGAACAGGACCATAATATAAAAAAACTAGGTGTCTTTTAATTCAGTCATGCCTTTCCAAGTAGTTTGGGGCTTAAACCGCAAAAACACTGTAGTTCATTTAATTAACTTAACACCGAAAAAAAAAATTCAATAAAATTTTTCCGGAAGAAACATGGTCAGGTAAGAAGCCCAGTTTAACATATCTCAGAGTATTTGAATTTAGAGCCGTGATTCACATCCCTAAGCAAAAACCAAAGAAATAGGAGCAAAAGTAAAATAAGTTATATATGTTGGCTACAGCAATTTCAAAAATACATATCGTTTCTTTGATCCCAGTAGAAATAGCGATGATGATATGTTTATAGACCAAATGGACGTAGTAACAGGTTTTCTGCAGTGTGAATTAAAAAGAGGAAATGTATTTGAAAATTCCAAAAGGTCTTGAGAAAAAGAAAGGAAAATTTTTTAAACTAAAGAACTCACTATATGGTCTTTAACAATCTCGCTTGAGCTAGTCTCTGGTGACCCATGCATGGAATGTATGGGGGTAGCAGTCAAGTGTGGAACTGCCGATGTAGAGGTGCTTAATGTGTATATCCCGCCGGTTAATCATGCCATACTGTTCCGGCCAGGTTTGAAACGTTATATAATCAACTATATGTGTGAACGCCAGTCGTACGTGGAATTCCGGAACAAGAATTCCAAAGCCCGTAGAATGAAACAGGGAGTTCCCCAAGGTGGGTGATATCTCCGGAACTGTTTAACCTCGACCTTTCCGGAATTCCTCGACCTCCAGACGGCATAGAGATCGTAACGTATGGGGATGATTGTACGATCATGACGTCGGGCCCAGTGGTCGGTGACATATGTGAAAGGCTGAACCCCTTTCTCGCGGAGCTTGCCGCATACTTCCACGCGAGGAATATGAAAATATTCGCCACGAAATCAACGGCCACACTCTTTACCACATGGTCTGCGGAGATGAGAACACAGTTGAATGTGCAGGTCGAGGGAAATTTAATTGACACCACGAACTAACCCAAGATTCTAGGAGTCACATTCGACAGCATGTTCAAGTCGTCCGCGCAAGCATGAAAAATAGAAACAAGGTCCTCAAGCCGCTAGCCGGCAGCACATGGGCTGCGGATAAGAAAATCTCGTTGACCTTTTATAACGCGATAGGTCGGTCTGTGGTCAGCTAATACTAGTGCTAAGCACATCCTGTACCTGTTTGGGTATTACCGTGAGAGTCATGCCAACCATCATATAGTGGATAAATCTCCCCCACCCAGGCGCGTCAGGAAGAACATACACGATCTAGAGAGGGAGGTCCAACGCTACAAGAATGAACCTCTAGATCAAGAAGCCTATCAGGCAAGTTTGAGTGGCATTCTTACGGATGCGCGGAGTCCACCCCATCCATTGCAGCTGAAGAACGTCAGCTGCCTAGACAAGGCGCAATTAGTTTTGGCGCAATTAGTTTAGGTGCAATTAGTTTTGGCGCAATTAGGTTCAAGATGGTGTAGTCGTCTCAATTCGTATTGGGCACGAATTGATGAAGATGTACGTGACGATTGCTCGGCGTGTGATACAGGCCCGCACAATACGCTACACCTCTTTAATTGCACAGTCAAACCTACCCAACTCAATCCAGAAGATCTCTGGCTACCGCTCATTAAAGTAGCCGAATTTCTAAACCTGGAGCTCGAACCAGATTAGCAGAACGCAAACACTTGCATGTACTACTGCTACAACAACAAGTACCAAAGCTGAATACATAGTAATGGCGGCATCTGCGCAAGAAGGATTAAGGTTGGGATCACTATTTAAATAGCTTGAAAATGTTCTTTCATCAGTATAAATTGCGACAAAGTGCAATACGTTCGAGCCATCACAGCACATACCGTGCACGATCGAAACACATTAAAACACCATTTCATTAGGGAATTGATTAAAGATAAAAATGTTTTTCGAAAAACTAAACACAAACGAGATGATCGCCAATTCTCTGATGGGATTAGGAGTTCAATCTAGTAGGAGTGTTGAAACGTAGTGACCGTCTTCCTGTTCTCCAATAAAACTTTTCTTATTCCCCGGATTCTTCTTGTGGAATCGTTATTTTTGCTATTCGTTCACGTCATGTCATTCCAATTTTAATTTGAGCACGCAATTTGATTAAATGTTTGATCAAAAGATTGAAATTTGCTAGCATAGCCTTGTTTTTGTTCATGCACGCATCCTTCAATTCTCTGTCGTAATATCCTTTCCAATTGTTATTTCCTCGTTAGATAATCACATTTAACAAACAACATCCATTCTAATGGAGGTTTCAATAGATTAAATTTTTCGTATGATGTTTTAAGACACATAAAAATTGTATTTTTGGAGAAGAAATTATTTTTCTTAATTCCTGAAGCTGTGGGCGACCCACACCATAGTTGAGTATGATTTTATAAAAACTAGTGTAAATGAAAAATTTAAATTATTTTACCGTCCCATTGAGTTGAGCAAACTTTAAGGTAGCAATCTAAAGGTGTGGTGTTTCATTTCTTTAACAGTGATACTTCAATCAAAACTACCACTCTAAACATTTATATTTTTAATTGTATTCGCTGATATAAACATATTATGTTAAATGCTATATTTGTTGTTTTATTTAAGTCTACACTTTATTTGTCCTGAACTGTCTTCCGAATAAATGGTTTTGTCCGTTTATCACATTTTCCCTTTCTTGACAATTTGAACATTACTTAATTATGGAATTTGTCTAAAAAATTTATTTGCCAAATTATATTGAAATCGGTTCAGATTTGGATATAGCTTCCATATACATTTTCGCTCCCCAAACACGCTATGTACCACTTATTTCAATGAAATTTGGAATGTGCAACGGAATTTGAAACGAACATACATTTGTCAAATTTTATTGAAATCAACTCAGATTTGGGTATAGCTCTCATATATATTTTCCGACGATTTCATGTATTTTATTGCAATATTTGAATTGCAACAAATATTTTCTTCAAATTCTTGAATTTGAATATATGAAATTTGTATATAAAATTTGTATATAAAATTGTGAATGCATATAAAAGAAAAAGGGATATCGAAGCGCACCGGATTCAACTAGTTTTCTATATATGCCGTTATATGTATGGTTGGCATACCAAAAATTGCAGTTTTGATTGGAAAATACTTCTCAAGCATCAAAACACTTAAGATCTTAACGTACTTTTAAATAGCGGCTATGCCTAATGGGGAACCAATAATAAACAGTTATTTCCGGTATAGGTTTTACAATACTGAAAACTTTAATTGTCAAATTACAATTCATTAGGTAGAAATTTTAACAAAAACATGATGATTGGAATCATCCTTTATTGCGATTCCAACGGATGGCCTCACATACTGACGGATATAGTTTAATTGACATGGGATTTTACCCTGATCAAGAATACGTACCATGAGATGTACAAAACTAAATACTTCACAATATGGTCTTCTAAAAGCTACCAATTCAAATTTACTTTTGATTTGAAAAATGTTGCTAAAACCTTTATATTACTAAATAGCTGAAACCAATGTGCTTAACTAAGCCGTTAACTCCTCGAAATACTCATATCAGATCCAAC